AGTTGATCGTAATTTTAATCTAAGGCATTTTTAAAGAGGTTTCGAGTCCCGAAGTGTAGCTTGTGTTCAGCTCCAGGCTCTCTGTTATCTCGTTTTCATGTACTGTATCTTATGTACACAGTGACTCACGCTGAAGTGACTTTTAAAAAGCCTGCAGGCCGTCATGTGTCGAGCCGTTTAAAGGCCGCTCGGTCTGCTTTTCTTCTCCCACAGCTTCAGTTTGCAGCTCTCTGTTTTGCATGAATGACGCCTCGTGGCGAGCTACGCCGGTATCTCCCGGCACCCCTTCGCTCCTCCACGTCCTTTCATCACAGTATTAACTCGTCCATATTTCCTCCACGGCTGCAGGGGGATTAAAGTTGCATGAAGAGGATGAGGGTTTGTTTACAGGTGTGCACTGAGACGAACTTCGAGTGTTTGATGTGTAGTTTTTTGGGCTCTGATGCAACGACTTGAAAACGTACGCGGTGGTAATTTACGGAGCTGAGGGTGCAGACGTGTGCGTCTTTGAAGTGCATCATTGTAAAAATTCACTGCGACGCACATAAAGATGGAAACCGTCAGGTGTGCTGTGACTGCAGATTGCTTCGGAGGTAGGAGGAGGAAAGTGTCTTCAATAATAAATAATCTGCTGCCTTCCTCCTTCTGTCCGTCTCCCTCCTCCTCCCCCTCTACCATCTGCAGCTGACAGCTCCGTCTGTCAGGCTGTCTGTTCCTGTGTGTTCACATCGTATATCTGCATGTCAACAACCACACATTTATTTCTGAATATGAGTTCATACACAAATATTAAAGGAACCCTGTTTTATCGGAGTCCTGCATGAAGTCTGATGTGATCAGTTGGTATCAGAGGTGTTGGTCAGGTTCAGCTGCTTTGGCCTGAATGACGTAAACAACAGGTGCACCAGAGGGGCAATGATGACATGAACCCCACAGGGACAGTTTCACACTGATGTCTTTTCGCTGCTGTTAGCGTGAGGTGACCTGGACCCTGCAGAGGCCACACCCTGAGCACATGTGACAGACGTG